ACCGACCAACTATGTCCGATGCCTAAAGCTTTATTGGAGTAGCCCGAAGTCCGAAAACCATTGAAGGCCTACAGATAGCATTCGGATGGCCGTCAGCCAGCTCATTGTATTTGGAATAGTTCAGCTATTCAACAACTTCTCGGAGATAGTCCAGGAACTACAGAAACTATTGTCTATATATCAAAGAGAGGTGGATCAATAATACAAAAGTAAGTAAAGTTAAATACTAAATCAACTTTAACCGGATGCATCCCCATATATATATTTACATCTTCTGTTGTGTTTTTACATAGTTTTTTGAAGAAAAAAAAATTGCTAAACATATAGAATTTGTATAAAATATAAAATTATTTATATATGTATATATATCCTAAATAAGGAAAGTCAGCAGAAGAAATAAATAATTTTTAGCTTGGAAATTTGTAGACATGCGATTTTTTGAACAAACAGCTCAAAACATTATTAAGTTAGATGACTCAAATTAAGCGATAAATAAGTGATATTCAGTGATACTCAAATCAAGTGATATTCAGTGACCGTTTTGAAACGATTTCAGCTCAAAATATAAAAAAAACATATTTAATTGTAGTTTACTAACAACTAAACCTTACCTAACCTTCGTAGACCTTAATTTCACTAAGAATATACTGTTGTGTTTGAGTAGATATATAAATCAATCTCCCTTATCAGTGACAGGTTTATAATGAAGCATATTTCCATTTAAGTCTTTTTACAAAAAAACTTATTTTCGTTTTAATTTAATTAAGGTTTTTTAACTTTTTTTCTAGTGTTATGATTTTTTAAAAATTAATTTAATCAGTTTTATAATATATGTTCTTTTTTTTTTTAATAAAAAAGGAAAAAAAAAATGATTAATTCTTTGTATTTTTCCTATTTTCAGAAAGGTTCTTCATTGATATCAATATAAATTTTAATTTGAAAGTGCACTCCAGAAGATAAGGAAAAAATAATAAATTGGACACAGAACAGACTCAGAGAAAAAAAACTTAATAACTTCTTAGAAAAAACTTGGCTTAATTTACTTTTCTGTTCAATTTATTTTGTAGTTTCATGGAAGCGCTGCATTTTTAATTCATATCTTATTTATATTTAATTTTGCTACTCTCCTGACAGGGAGCTATACATTTCTTAATTTAATATTAAAATATGATTCATAAACATGAAACTAGTGAAACTTTTGAAAACAGATATTTGTAAACGTTTTTATATTTTATTTTAGATAATTTCATTCTCATTCTTGAAAATGACACGGGAACTTTTAAAGGAAGAGCATATCAAGTCAACTCATATTTTTGTAGATCTTGAGATCAATTTCAACTTATTTCCTAATAAATTATCAGTTAAATGAATATGGACTTGAAGCTCAAAAAAATAGTTTTTCTGATAGTGACGTAGCTGTAGAATAGTTGAAGGGTATTAAAATTTTTTAAAAAGTCGCAAATATTTATGATTTTTTTAAAAACATAACTTGTCTTGTTTTATCCGCTTAAAAAAACTTTTTAAACTGTTTACTGAAAAATAACTAGATATAAATGGTAATGTCTGTTATTTTATTATTGAATAGGATGAAAATTTCCCCATTAAAATTAAATAGAATCACCACAGAAAGTCTAAGGAAATAAAATAAAGGAGAATATAAATTATATTTTATATTCTGATATCAAATTTATTTTATGCACAGAATTGTCATAATCTTTCTTGGTGGTATTAAGTTTGCATTTACAATCAACATAACTTTCTCAAGATTTATAAACTTAAAAAATATATAATAATTACACAGAAAGTAGGCTTGTAAGTAAAAGTTTTGTGATGCACCCCACAAGCTTGTTAAGATAGATTTTTTTATAATAATAAAATTGTGTCGTTAGCATAATTCTGAAAATATCCTCAGAAAGCTGAATAGGAACTAAATGAGGGACTTCATTGAATATTCAAATATTTTAATATGATGTCAGGACGAGCTTCAGCAAGCAGATCTGTGACCCTGGCTTAGTATTTTTTTCATAGCATTGACAAAAACGCAAACAAAAAAACAACAACAAAAAATGAGTGTGTGTATTAAACGCTCACTGAAACCATGGAATGCAGTAAGAAGGGGAACGGACTTAAAGCTGCTGAAAAATTCATTGCACAACAAAGTCGCAACAAAGTTTTCAAGCAGTCATAAATCTATTGTACCCCATACATTTAGCAATTCTGAACCAGCCAGCGACTTAATGTTTCTTTGGTATGAGTTTCAATATATATTCTTCTTTTTCCATAAAAAAAAAAAAAAAGAACAACATGTTTACAGATCACATATTTGGAAGAGATCAAGAAATGATCTGGAGAAAAACTGAGTAGTAAATTCTTGATTAGTTTAAGATATGGAAATGGTTGTAAATTGTGAATCTGCCGAATTTCTGGTGTAAATAAATATGTATTTAAAATTTACAGTAGCACTTTCGATCAATCTCCACTGGCGTTAGGACTAGTGATGCGGTTGAAAGAGAATTGCAGAGATCTCCTGGGTTCCTGCTTTTTACTCCATAGCTGGAGGGCAAGCCTGCCTCGGAGTTTCCTCGCCTGATTGTAACTAGTGCATATACTCACATGTCTGTGTTGTTATTTTTTTAAATTTATTTATCTTTAATTTATTTTATATGTATTTATTGTCGATTATACTTTTAGAGTATTATTTTGCTTCTGTTTATTTTATATTTTCTGTGAACACTGTCTGAATGTAGTCATACGTCACTATAATCATTGTCAACGAGACAGGATCTTATATTATATTTTCGAATTGGATTAATCTGAATTTTAATTTAGATTACTCGATTGGCTTGATACATATATCTCGATACTATCTGCAAATATTTTCTGGAAGCATTGCAGATTTCAGCTTTTATTAGAAACAGTTTATTTTGTATATTGTATTTAAAAGCGATAAATATAAAATAAAATGGTAGAAACATAATTTTCGTGCAGTGAAAATTCCAAAACCCAGTAAAAACATTAAACATATAAAAATATTGAATAGTTTAGATTTATAATGTTAATATGTGGCTAGATCATTTAATCAATGTAATTACATGAGAGAGCAGCTGAAAAGAATGTGTGAGTTTTTCATTTAACTATTTTATTATCTTTTATGCTTTTACGCTTTATGTTATAACTTATAATGATATATTGCTTACTTGTTTTGTTTCTAGACAGATTTTTAATTGTAGTTGTAAATTATTAATAAAAACAACAATCAATCGAATATTTTCTTTCCTTTAAATAAAAAAAATAGATTTGTAAAATAGATTTTTTATTTAAAAGTATTTCATGTAAGTCAATGTCAAAGATTTAATATCCTCTTTACAGCAGATCTTCACTGATTCCTAGAAATGTACATTTTTCGATTATTGTTTTTATTTTAATTTTTTTATATTTAATGGTAATAATGAAATGTCAGTATAATAGTAATCTCATAATAATATGAAGAACTTTCAGTATGAATAACGTGTTTTAGGCCAATATTTTTCCAAAACTACTAAAATGATTTCGATGAAAATAGCTCAAGTCTTCACTGCTAAAATACAAACACACTAGAGTAAAATCTTCAGTTTTCGAAAATGTTAATGTAACTTTAAAATGAGTTTCTTTCGTTTTCACTTGGTTCACCAATTTCTGTTCTGTTAAGTAAGTAAAGATCTTCAATTCAATCAAAATATATAGATGGAACAGTGTCTTTCGTTTATTTTTTTTTAAAGCAGAACGGAAAAATATAATAATATCGGTAGTCGCCAGTTTTTGGCACAGTTTTCTCTCTTTTCGTTACCCTGAAATACCAGTTTTCGGCACCCTTAACCCAATTTTCAAAAATCTAAAGAATTGAAGAACTACAATGATATTGTGCAGCGATGTGTATTTCTTACCAAAAACGGAAGAGACGTTCTACCTGTGTGGCACCTGTCGGGTTTCTAATCTTCAGTGATTTATTCGGCCTATAAAACTAAATAAATAGTGAGAGATGCTAGAATATGTGAACGCAGAAGGGATTCTCGCTTCAAATAAGTGCCTTTCGCCAGTTCTAGACCTTATATATATATATATATATATATATATATATATATAAGATCTTAATATTTATAAGATACTCTTAATATATATAAGATTGTATTTTATGTTTGTCGTTAATCTGACAGCATCTTATTGAAATTGAAATCCTAGTTTCAGTTTTAAATGTTTTATGAAGACTTCAATTATCCTTATTTATTTTTAGCAATAATAATAATTATTATAATTTTTAAAACTATGTATTTATAATTCCGAATGGAATTTACAATAAAAAAAATTAGAATTAAGTTTCATTAGTTTTTTTATACGTTATTTTTATTCAATGGTATCAATATAAAAAATAACCACAAACATCGAAATATTATTATATAATTTTTTTAATACTGATATTTTGATATTTTTCTAACATCTCTACAGTAAATATTTTTCAGGGTATTACAGTAATTACAAACCAAGTATTCTGAACCTAGTGCCCGTGGACAACATGATTATTGTTGAAGTAATGAATAGAAGTAAAAAGTTACTGACGCTGTAATGTCTTCAGAACATACTATTTTTTTTCCTTTTCCTAACTATAGAAAATAATAATTGGTAAATGGTTGACTGTCGTGGATAATGAAGAGAAGAATAGTCGGGGTGGTCAGTCAAAAAAGAAGGCAAAAATAAATGATAATATTTATTTTTGCCTTCTTTTTTGACTGACCACCCCAACTATTCTTCTCTTCATAGAAAATAATAGTTTATTTATATATATCTCACTATTTAGTAGTTCTAACTAATACTCTATATTTTAATTCATATAACCTGATTCATACAAAGGCGGGGTAAGAACCTGACTTGATATGTTCCAGGTCCTGGATTCGAATCTGAATGATGGCAGGAAATTATTTATTCTGTTACATCAATAGTGGATCAACCTATTGTCGTAAAACCCTTTAGTGGCACATCCAGCCTCTATAAAGTGGATAATCTTAATTAAATAATTAATTAACGGAGGCTCCTTGTAATACCGTTGGCCTTGAAACAGTACTTTCTTACAAATTATTTAACCCTAAAATTATATTGATATTTGTAAATTGTTTCATTCATTAAATAGTTGTCAAACATTTAATTAACCAAGACAAGTTTATCTATGCTGAATTCCGCCATTACCAAAAAATCCAGTCCGAAATGAGATGCCATTATTCTTATTTATAAAACAATAATATAATCATTAGTGCTGCGAAGGCTGACCTTAGTGAAAATTCACTTACAGTGGAAAAAAGGTTTTTATTTCGATTTTTATCGAAAAACAAAATATATGAGTTCGAATCCCATGTCCAGGATAATAAATAGGTAAAATTAAAAAAAATGAGGATGACAATTAATCAGGATATCGAGTTTTTATATGGTCGTCATGCCATATGTGGTTGTTCCCATAATTTTAACAGTCGATTATATATCTAGATCTAAAAATTAAATAAGTATTTTTTTTAATTTATACATTCTATTTATTGTATATATTTTTTTATTATTATTATGTTATTTTGCTTCTGTTTATTATTATTTTTTTGTACATGTGTGTTTTGTTATTTACCTCCCTACAACCAATGTCCATGTGACAAATTGTTATTTTATTTAATAGATAAATTTTTAAAAATAATAGATAAGTGTAAGTAAAAATTAAATATGATAAACATTTTAAACATGAACTGGTGCCGAATTATTTTACAGGTATGTTATTGGTTGAAGGACTATCACTAAAGGGACTGTAACGGAGACCCAGACTAGACCACACGAGACAGTAACAACAATAGGAACAGATAAGAACAGGGACCCCATCCATCTCAGTCAGCGGTTGAAGAATATTGGACCCCTCTCCCAGGGTACCAACAGATTTATTCCATGCATAAACACCATCCCCCATCCACTGATATCTTATCGAGAGCTCGGCGCAACTGGCTGCTCTGGATATCGATGTCTGCTCCGCATCGATTTACCCAGCCCATTGTCTTCCAATTACAGCTTTAATCAGTTCAGGATTAGTGTGTATCGTGCATCCTGTACTTCAATACCACCAGATGTCAAAAAAGCTATATGATATTCCTACTCCGTATTATCTAACACATGCATAGAAAACCATATAGAATTCGATGAATTGTAAAATAAATGCTCTAGGTTGGTTGACAATTGTTCTAAATGGAAACCCATGTTGTGTTATCATAATAGATTTATTTGTATAACGATTATCCATCCCTATGTGAAATACCCAATGAATCCGATTGTGCATTTTCTTTTCTTCAAAAACCAACTAAAATTGAAAAATAAAAACGTTATGAAAATAAATTTATTTCCGAAACCGGCCATTTTTTTTCGAGAAATGTAATGATACATTTCTTAAATATCTAAAAAAATCATCATCAAAATCATTTTTACTATAATCTTTTTTTTAATTTAAAAAAAATTCTAATATTACAAACAAAAAATATTTTTCTGTAGTAAAATTTTAATAACTTCTGATCCACCCCTCCACCACTCTCCAAATCATGCAATATTTCTTCTTTTCGAACCGAACGCTACTTAAACGTTTGTTCTAAAATTTACTTTTGAGTTTAATTTGTTCCAAAAGCGGCCCTAAATAATAATAATGCTTTTTTTATTCTGTTACGAGTCCCTTTAGAATAATACAGAGAGCCAAAGATGTTGGCTAAGGAGCCTCAGAGATATATAAACAAGAATGTAGTTTGATTAAATAGCCAAAATAGAAGAAATTATAAGGTACTTTCAAATTTAAATCAGTCAATAATAAAAAAATGAAAATAAACATGAAGTAAAAATAATGAAAAACGATCTAATAATTTATATACATATTTACAGTGGTAAGTATTTAAAATTTTATGAGAGTTGGATGGATAAGAAATTATTAAACTGTCGGGATTTAAAGGTTTGAAAGAGTTTTGGGTTGGCGGATGTGGGGAGGGATGGAGTTCCATAGGGTTGAGGATCGAATAATAAAAGATTTGTTGAAAGCAGCGGTTCGGTGTAAATAATTTTCAATATATTTGTTTTTTTTCTTTTGAACTCCTGTTGCTCTCTTACTCCACCTTCGCTGGCTTTTAATATCAGTGAAGTGATTGCGGGAGAACCACTGGAATCTCCAGAAGCTTCGCTTTTTGCTACAATAATGTTGATACAAGACTGGTTCGGAGTTCCTCTGGCTGATTTTAAATAGTGTATATAAGTATGCCTACGTCTAAGATGTTTATTTATCTTTTTAATGCACAGTTTATTTTATTATTCTTTGATTTATTTATATATTTTTTCTTCTTATCCTAGTTTATGTTGTTCTTATTTATATTTATTATATTGTTATTACTTTATTTATTTATATATTTTTTTAAATAAGGTCTAAATGATCCCTCAGAACTCTATTCTAAATCTCCTTAATCGATACAGATTGTTATAGTTCTCAGTAAAAAACGTTTGATTTGAAAAATACACTATGCAGGTCGGATTTTTAGTTTTTGAGATATTTTAATCCATATATTCCATAGAAATCGTAATCGTTTGGTTTTCACCTTAATAACACGGCCTCGCGTTCAGATACAATTTTGAATAATATCCCATTACAGATAGGATGAAATGCTGAAAGATTCTCTCAACTACAGTATTCAGGGCCAGTTTTAATTTTGGAGACATGTTAATCCATATGCAAGAACATTTCAGTTAGTCGACATCAGCTGAATTTACCCAAGCGTTACATGTCGGAGATCTGACGGCTCAATCTAATTCAATTTTCACACTAAGTAAAAAAAGCGCTTAAAGTATTTTTTAATTTCTATTACAACTCGATCGATACATCTACCTGAAGTTACATCTACCTCACACAGGAGTTTTAGTCGTAGTTAAATTAGTATTTAAATATCTGTGATTAAATAAAGTCTATGGTGGTTAAATAAAATACTTTTTGATTTTATGTTATAAGGGCAGTTCTACCATTGGGTAATATCTCTTCAAGCCTGTTAATATAATTATTTGTAATTTGTGTATATTTGCTAGTTTTATTTGTATACAGTTGTAAATTTCATTAAATAAACAATAATAAAAAAAATGTTATATGGCGGCCAAGAGATTTTCTGAGGTGATTTATAACCTGCGATGAGATGCTGTGAAGATGCCAACAATATTAGCTCATTCTAAAGCAATTTGCAGATCGCAAATTTAATGTCCGAATTTTCTTTTTCGTTAACAAATAAGTAATAAAAAATATTTATTCGTAAATATAGTTGGAAGCGAAGGAGAGAATAATATTAAGAAAAGGATTAGGCCATGATTAAAACGTAATAGTCAAGATATTCTTGTGGTGATGTCTAAATGTAGTTGAAACAGTTACATTACTAACAGAAGGAGATGGTGAGTACAGTAGTATTTGCGGTGACATTGTTTGCTGTACGCAGGCCAATCCGATGGCAACACCTGCTCGCTTTTTCCATTAGCTTGGGATTGCTTCTGTACTTTCGAATAGTATATTCGGTTGCTTCTTATTTAACCTAATCTTTATTTCTTCATTATTTTTTTTCCATTAAAATTTTCTTAATTAAACGAAAGTTGTACTTCAAATTATAAAATATTTTGATTTATATGGTTTTCTGCTTAATGATAGGAAAGTAATATTTTGAATGAAAATTTAAAAGAATAGAAAACAAAAATCATAAGTAAATTACTCCGGAATGGTTTTCAAAGTTTGAAAAGGCCTCCAAATAAAAATAAAAAACAAAGTGTATCCTTTTGGAGTTATTTGGAAATCTAATTTTATCATCTCTCGTAATTTTGTTTCCATAATTTTTCGGCGAAGTATACTATATAGAAATATTTAAACGGCTTCAAAGGAGAAGACTATTCAAAGTTAATTGGTACATCCGTTCAGGCACTACAGTCTATAGGACACAGGTTTTTGGCCACAATTTTAAAAGAAAAGTACTTTTTGGTGAAGAATGTCATATACATAAATTTTAAGAGCTTTGAAGTCGATATATTTGTTTAGGCGCTATAGTTCATATCAACACAGGTTTTTCCGCCGCCATCTTGAAAGCAAAGGGCGGATGGTAATCTCGAGGTAGGAGGATCATCGTTGGGTGAGCTCTGATAATCATTTCAAATCTAAAAAAAAAACACAGGTGTTGTAGTCTCGGAGAAAAGCCGCTTACGGCGGACAGACAAATATTCGATTTTCGTAAAACGTAAATTTTGAGACGGTTGGTTAACTTGTTGTAGTTTTTTGTTCGATTACAATAGTTGTAATTCTTAATAAACAGATTTTCAATGCAAATTATATTAAAAGTATTCAAAGTTATATTCGTCCTCATTATTTCAGGTTTCTACAATTTAAATATTATAGACATATGTCTTCTAAATAATAAAGTTTATTATATGTTTTTGTAAATAATAAAGTCCACATTTGATGAACTCTGAAGCTTTTCTGTTACGAAGTCTAATTAAAAGAACTCGGATGACGGGATGCAATGTACTCTATAACTCCCCAGGGTTACTCATCGGAAATTGGCATTCGGTAAAGGTCAAAGTTCCCTGGTTATTGATTTCAATAGGAAAACCACAAAGTACAATCGGTAGAGTTTTCTGTATTTTTTTATCAAATTTTAATTAAAGATCTTTTAAGGTAACATAACTTTTTCAAAACAAAAAAAAAATATTCATTCATAATATTTATAGCTGTATTAAAAAAAAAAAATGCATCTAGTAAATGAGCACTCAGGGATATAATAACATGAAATTGCTCGTTGAGAAACTACCCACTGGTAGCATTTTCAAAACTTATATTAGCTTTGTGGTAACATTAGAATACATTTGGAATACATAGACAATATATTATTAAGCATTTTTCTTCAAATATAAAGTCTGATTTCCACATAGGAATTAACATCGAAATAGATAGGTGGTTTAAAAAATTTTTTTAAATGTACAGAAATTTCTGAGTTTGTAAAATCATAATTAATGTTGTAGTAAAAGCGAGACCGAGACGTCTTGGTCTCGCAAATTCCGTTTTGGTTGTGGTCTTGGTCTTGCGCAAGAGTCTCGCAACAGTCTTGCAGTTACTTAATAGCTTATTATTACAGAGATATTACTGTAGTTTTTTAGATAGGAGAAACCTAACTAGACCCGAATGAAAAATTAGAAGAGTTAGATGCAAAATTATAATGGTTATACCAATTCTTTACATGTATTAACTAAAATTGTCAAGTATTAGTAACTATTTTGTCTTCATTTTTATTCAAAAATCGATTTTTTTACTAGTCCTTATGTCGGTCTTGCAGCAGTTAGGTGGTCTTAGTCTTGTTCTTGTTCTTGCAAAGTGCAAGACCAAGACCGATTTCGGGCAGCACTAATTATAATCAGTATAAATTAAAATTATTATCCCATAAATCACTAGAATATCATCATATTTATATTTTTATTTTATTTACATTCATCACACCAATGGTCCGATGGCTTGCTTTTTAAATTAAATGTGTTTCCTTTATCGCAATGAAAATTTGAATATGAAGTTTTTTTTTTTTCAGATGAAATACCAATCTCAATTTTGTTTGTACTTAAAAAGTTATTTGAACCCACTTTCATCTTTCGTTTGCTACAAATTGTTTCATTTCTACATTGTTCTTAAACTATAGCTATATTCCAAATATAAATTTGTCATAATAGACAATTATTAAAAAATATAAACCGATAAAAACTGAATAAAAATATCATATCAAACGAGATTCTTTTAGATTCCAATGATTTTTTTTTTTTTTTTTTCATTTTGTAGAGAATTCAGAAAGCTTTCTAATGCTCATCGGTTTAATGGATCAAAATTGTGTACTTTTTGAGTTTTTCGCGAATCAAATTCTGAATCCACCAATTACTTTTTTT